CCGGGGGTACCCGGAGGACCGGACGAGGCCTGCAGCTCGCGGTAGCGCGCACCCTGCAGCAGGCAGGACTTTTGCCCTAGCACTGGTCTTGTTCGACTTCAGCTTGCTTAGTTATGATAGCAAAAGATGTTTAAATAAGGCTTTGCTTGTAAAGTATCCAGTAGAGGCTGGGGATGTGACTCGCTGACAGATTTTTGCCTAGGTTGCACAAAGGTCCGGTCCTATTCCCTGCGCGCGGGGGTGCGCACGCACACGGATGAGCTGTAATCAACCTTAATGCCGTCATTTATTCAATCTCTATGGTGCTCAGACATCTCCAGTGCAAATTTTAAAAACTTGGTGGTGGTAGGCTGGCTGTCTTATGCAACCCATTTGTACTTTTAAAAAAGTAGTTGCATTTATTCTGTTGGACTCCCTCTCCAATCTATCGTACATACATTGGTAGAAATAAAGTGTTGAGATCTACAGTACCTATTTAAGGCCCCAGGTATGCACGGAGGGAAATAAGCCATGAAGAAAAATACTCAAGAAAGGAAACGATTCACGAAAACACTTAACTAGGAAAGAGATGGATGAAAATAGTCCTCTGTGTTGAATATCGTATGTGTACATTGTGGGTGGCAGCAGTTTGCAGTTTTGAGATCTGGAAGTTGTAGTCTAGGATACAAACTTAATGAAAAGTAGCCTAGCATGCTGAGCATGTCTATTTTGTTTGAAGCACATTGATGTTTTAATGTGAGTACATGTGTTCTCTGCCCCAAAATAGTAATTAGAGAAAAGCTGCTACACAGAAACCCAGATATCTGTATAATTGCTTCTGATTAGTGTTTAGTGTAACCCTAAACACTAAAGGTTGGCCAACACTAAAGTGTGAGGCTCACATACATGATCCCAGATACTCAGGAGGCTGGGAACATCAGAGCTCTTAAGTTCAAAACCAGCATGGGTGACATAGCAATACCCTGTCCCAGAACAATAATAAGCAGATCCCATTGTGCTTAGAACGTTGTATACCTCCAACGAGGATCTACTAGAAAATGAATAGTTGACAGTCTCTGGAATCACTTACACTTTTCCTATGAAATGGCAAAAGATAAGATTATGTCAGAAACGTGAATGATGTGGGTGGGGGGAAGGTTGGTTTTTCGAAGCAGGGTTTCTCCGAGTAGCCTTGTCTTGGAACTCACTCTATAGATCAGGATGGCCTCATACTCACAGCCCTCCACCTGCCTTTGCCTCCTGAGTGCTGGGATTAAAGGTGCGTGCCACTACCTCCCCCTACTTGAATGACATAGGATTTTTTTTACCATATGATGGGCTTGATTCTAAAGTCTATTTTGATTTGTTTTTTAAATGAGTTTTATTAAGTAGCCCACGCATGTATTCATGTACCTTAGCCTTCTTAGTAGCTTGGATTATGCCACAACACCTGAGTATTACTAATATTTTAAAGCTAAAAAAAATCAATATGATTGCCTGTTTTGAAGTAAGTTTACAATTTCCTCTTTACTTAATTCCTTCTTTTTTGAACAGCCTGTTTTCATTCCTTAATTTTATATTTGGAAATATCTGAGAAATGGTAATTGTTTGTTTTTTTTTTAATTCATAGACAAAGATGGCTAAGGAAAGGTGTCAGAAAAAGTCCTTTCAAGATAGTCTTGAAGACATTAAGAAGCGAATGAAAGAGAAAAGGAATAAAAACTTGGCAGAGATTGGCAAACGAAAGTCCTTTATTGTTGCACCATGCCAAGTACCCAGTAAGACATTTTTGTGGTGTCTTTTTACAGCATTCTTATTTTTGTGTGTTAGTGTGGCATTTGTTTGTGTATTGTGCATTCTTCTGGGGGGGAGCAGTGTGTTGCTAGAGGAAAAGTTCTGAAATCCTGCCGTTGCTCTCTATTCTGTTCCCCTGCAAAGGGTCTCTTACTGAACCACAAGCCCTGGAGATCCTTCTGTTTCCACATCCCTCCAACACCTTGTCTTCCTTTCTATCCCTGTACACACAGTGATGGGGTTACCTGTTTGCCTGACTATACCTGGCTCCTTATATGGGCCCTGGGGATTTGAACTCTGGGCCTCATTGATTGCTTAGCAAGCACTTTTATGCTTTCAGCCATCTCTCCAGCCCCTGTTTCACCTTCTATGTTTAGGTTTAATTGAAATTTTTATCTTATAGCTAACACTTCTACACTGCTGAAAACTTACCAAGATAACAACAGGTTGTTAGTTTTGGCTTTGGAAAATGAAAAGTCCAAAGTGAGAGAAGCCCAAGATACCATCCTACAGCTGAGAAGAGAATGTTATTACCTTGCATGTCAGTTATATGCAGTCAAAAAGAAGCTAACTTCCCAACCAAGTGAAGAAACTGACCAGGTATGCTCATTACAAAGCTCTCCTATGTGGTTTTGCTGTATGAAGTGCAGCTTTATAAAACCCTATTTTATAAGTGCTCTTTGGAAAATCACTTTTTAAAAAATAATTTATTACATCTATTTAGATTGTGTATGTATGTAAATTGAGACAACTTTCAGGTGTTAGACATGTGACATACATATGTGTAACCTCACATACATAGTACGTAGCATAGAAAATAATTGCCTTTCTAGCAGGGTACTATTTCTTCCTGGGTGTCTTGCATACCTGTGATCTTATGATTCCAGAACTCTGCATGCTAAGTCAGGAGGGACCCAAGTTATAGGCTAACCTGAGCTGTACAGTGAGTCCTTATCTCTGAAAAGATTTTTAAGATTTACATTACATTTTAAAGATTGTTTTCCTTCAACATTTTAAATCTTTTTTCCCCTTAGTCAACTAGGGGGTTCAGTCTATTGGCATCTGAATCTCTCTGATACTTCCCAGAGCTTTAAATGATTCTTTTTGTTTTTAATCGTATGTGTGTGTGTGTGTGTGTGTGTGTGTGTGTATCTGGACATATGTATGCTAATGTGGATACTCCTGGAGCTATAGTTGCAGGCAATTTTAGGCCACTTGAAATGAGTGCTGGGAACCAGACTTAGGTTTTTCCAAAGAACACTGCATACTCTTACTGCTGAGCCAGATATCCAGCCCTCTGCTTTCCAGAGTTTTTGCTGAAATTACAAGAACTAATATTCAGTGGCTACTCAATGGCATAAACCCCAAAACAATGGGGAGAAATTTCTATTATTATAGGCCCTTTAATGCCAGCTATCAGTGTTTTCAGTTAGGTATGTTGTTACTAGTTGCTGTTAGAGTCTTAGCATTTAAAGGAAGAGCTTGTTTCTTTTCTGTCACGTATCTATGTGTATCACTTGCTCTGAACCACTTGTTCTTCAGTGTTCAAGGTTGATTTCTCACTAGTAGAAAGCTTAAAGTGCTTTTTTGTTTGTTTATTAGTTTGTGATGGTCTCGATATGTAGACCAGGCTGGTTTAAATATGTGCCACCATGCTCAGCTTAAGATGTTTTAGTATAAGAAGGTTTTCTTGGTCTGGGTCTGTAGCTCAAGGGTAGAAGGAACACCTATCTAGAATGCATAAGGTCCTGGGTTCATTCATCCTCAATGCTGCAAAACTAATTGTGAAAAAAGTGAAGATTTGGAGCCAGAGACATTATTGGGTAAAGGTGTTTGCCACTTGTTGATGAAAGCCTGATAAACTGAGTCCAATCATTGGGACCCACGTAGTGGAAAGAGAGAACTGACTCCCAAAAAAGTTGTCCTCTGGCATCCATACATGCCATAGCATGCCTGCCTATCAAATAAATAGTGTTTTAAATGTAGAAATGTAGAGACAAAGGGAAATTTTTAAGACATTTCCTTCCTGTCTTAGTCAACGTGCTCACTAACATTTTCCAATAGTTCCCTGTGTTTTGTAATAAATCTTTATATTTTGGGGATTTATTTTTAGTTATGTATAAGGGGGAGTGTGAATGCAGGTGCCCACAGAGCTCAAAGGCTGCAGATCCCCACCCACCCAGGACTGGACTTACAGGCAGTTATGAGCCATCCAACATGGGTGCTTGAAACCAAGCTTGAGTACATGGCTCCTAGCCACTGAGTGCTTTCTAGCCCCTTAGGTAATCTTTTTTTTTTTTTTTTTGGTTTTTTGAGCCATTGTTTCTCTGTTGCTTTGGAGGCCGTCCTGGAACTAGCTGTTGTAGACCCGGCTGGTCTTGAACTCACAGAGATCCGCCTGCCTCTGCCTCCCTAGTGCTGGGATTAAAGGCATGCACCACCACCCCCCAGCCATAGTTAATCTTTTTAATTATGCTGCTACTATACAACTAAATATTCTCTTTTCCTTTGTCTTGAATAATGTAACTACTTTCAAGTTAGCTATTTGATACTAGGTTGAAAACTTTCTTTCATAAGAACTCTTTCTCATCAGCAGTTTTAGCCTATCTTTTATTAAATCATTATTAATTTTGTTATTAAATGTTCGGTTAGGATCCAACAGATATATACACACATGGAATAAATAAAAAATGTAAAATAAAAATAAATTCAGTATGTGTTCATTAAATTTAAAAGTCAATTAAATTTATTAGGAACTCTTCTTAGTGTTCCATCTTGGACTCACCTTTCTATCAGGAATGTGCAAACATGTTCCATGTACTTGTATTTTCTCTTGCTCTAGTTACCCCCCCCACACACACACACACAGCATCATATTCTTCTCATCTCACCCCCATGAGAATTTGGATCCTCAGTATTTGTTTTCCTTCCTATGTCTCTACAGCTAGAAGTGTAGTGTCCAGTATCTTTTGCCTTCAAGACAAAACCTCTCCTGGTCGGGTTTCCATCCCTTTTTTCTTTGTTTCCCCCTCACAATACAACGAAAGAAAGAAAGAAAGAAAGAAAGAAAGAAAGAAAGAAAGAAACGGGGGGGGGGAGGCTAGATGTGGTGTTTACACCTTTAATTAACCCCTGCATTTGAGAGACAGAGACATGTAGGTCTCTGTGAGTTCAAGACCAACCTGGTCTATATAGTAAAACCCTGTCTCAGTTACATGTATATAGTTTCTGTCCTTACTATTCTCTATTTTTATGTGTCAGGATCACCAAAACTTGCATGTTGCCAAGTTTGGCTTGCCTTTGTTTCTTAACTTTACAGTGATATGCAAGAGAAGTCTCTTCACTTGAAAACATTGATCTCTTCATTTTCTTTCCATCTTATCCACCCTGAGTTTTCTTCCTACTTCCTTGCTGTTCCATGTTAGTCTCCTGTGTGTTAGCAACTTCTTTATTGCTAGTTGCCCTGGACACATGTGAAATCCTCCCATGGTTATATAATTATCTTTTGGGGACTTTCAAATTCATATATCAAAGCTTGAACACACATGCAGATGTACAACTCAGAGGTTGATTTTAGAAAGCATCTCAAACAGACTTTATACAAAGCACAACTCTTTGCTTTCCAATTCTCAAGCATATTGTGCACCTCTACCTTCCTCCTTGTTTTTTTTTTTTTCAATTTATATATTTAGTTCTAGTTTGGGTCACAGTCTCTCTATAAAGCCCAGGCTAGCCCAGAACTCAGTCTGAAACCTGGTTAACCTCACACTGATCTTCTTCCTCCCTCAGCACTAGAGTGCTGAGATTAATGCACTGCTGTGCTCAGATCTTTCTCCAGTTACTGCTCTTCATCTCAGTAAATTAGACTGTGCACTCACTCTAGCCAAACTTACTTTGTCAGTGCCATCTCCCCTATCCATATTCAGGCTTTACACATGGAATTTTCTCTCCAAGTGTTCTCATCTGGTAAATGTTCAGAATGATAGAACCATTAACAGGAACTCCATGGCAGGTTGCTTAACCCTGCATATGCCATAGACCCTTGGGTTATGCATGCTTTACTAATGGGGCCATCCCACAGGCTTTGCCACCACAGCCCCAAGCCTTTGCTATGATAACCACCTAACTTCTTCCACTCTGCATCCCTTGTAAGCCATGCTTCATGTTGGATGGACACTTCTTTATACTGCCTTACTTAATATTTAAGTGAGTTTCCATCACACTTAGATTAACCTTTCCCTGGAGGTCATAGCTCTCAAGGCTCTTTGCCTGCTGGCTAATGTATGCATGTCTCCCACTGTTCTCAGCTCTTGCTTTTCAGCTGCATTGGCCTATTCTCTTAAACACAGCTATGACTTTGCCTGTTTCACAACTTTTATATTTGCTGTTTACACTGCTTTTTCTTCCTTCAGCTCCTTAATAGCTGATTAGTTCTTATATTTCAGGCCAGAGTCACTGCGTAATAGAGCTCTCCAGCTTAGTTGCTCTAGATTCATTCCGATAGTACCTTCATAGCACTTTTCACCTTGGAAATCAGTCACGTGTCTCTCTTTTCATTGGGAGGAGGGGCACATGTGCGCCACAGTGTTCGTGGAAGGTCAGAGGACAACTTTCAGGTGTTGATTCTTGCCTTCTACCATGGGTCTCACGGATCCACCTGACATTATGAGGCTTGAATGGCAAGGAATCGTGTCTGTGAGCCATCTTACTAGACCCTTTTTAAAATTTCTTTCTTTATACTATAATGTAAGCTATAAGAGGGCAGTGTGAGATATACACAAGAATATAAGCTATAAGAGGCACCTTGAGATAGACACTAGAATATAACCTATAAGAGGGCAGTGTGAGATGGACACTAGAATGTAAGCTGTAAGGGCACTGTGAGATGTTTCAGCTGTTGGAATCCTAGCCCCTGAAACTTCGTGGCAGTGCTGTTGACTATCAGCAAGTATGTATTATTGTTGCAGGCATATATGTTTATTCAGCAATGCATTCATAATGCAAAATGCATATATATACTTCATAGCAGTAAACAATTATAATGGTATTTTCTTTTGATTTAATATATTAACAGAACCAGAAAGGATATCTCGAAGAAGTGGTCTCCAGTAGTGACAACACCATCAGCGACTTGTCTGTGAAGAGCTTACAGTTAGTGCCAAGTTCATTATTGATTCTATTACTACCGATCCATTTGTAAAAGGAAATTGACATCATTTGTGTTTATAGTCTGAGGCTTTATCTACTAGAAGTATACTTATGAGAATTTGATATTAAAATACTGTTGTATGTGCAAAGTTAGAGCTTTCTTTTTCTACTGTTTAGTTACTTTAATGACTAGAGTTAGAAACTCACAAAGGCTTTTAACTGTTTTCTTTCAGTAGGGTTTTTTGTATGTCATGTTTTCATTCTGGTAAGATGTCATTGTTAAAACTAATTTTTTTTTCCAAGACCTAAAAACTGTCCAATTTATTGGGAGGGGGTTGAACTATCACTTTTTAATACCTGTATCTTATTGATCAGTTCTGATTCAGATGCCCTTTTTCCCTTTTCTTTGATTATGTGTGTTTTATGTTCTTTCATGAACTATTGAGATTTATTATATATACCAAAATACCTAGTGCTTTTTTTAGTTAACATTTTTTCATCCCATATATTTTGATCATTCACCCCTCCCCCACTCCTAGGTCCTCCCTTCCCCACTAACTTTGTGTTCTCTCAAGAAGGGGGAAAAAAATCAAGAAACACAAAAAGGAAAATCAGAACAGTCAAAAGACCAATAAGACCAAATAAAAGCCCAAACAAAACAAAAAGTCCACGAAAATACCATTGAGTCTGTTTAGTGTTGTCGAACTGCCCTAGAGTGTAGTTGATATACCCAGTGAATCTTCATTGTAGAAAACTGATTTTCTTTTTGCCAGAATGAACAATTCAGCTCTTACTTAACACCAATTAGTGAGTTTGACTAACGCCTAGCTATAAATCCAAAACTTGGAAGACTGATATAGGAGGACAGTCATTCAAAGATGGCCTGGGCTACATGATTCAACCTTGGGTCATGACAAATAAAAATCTAGAAAGCTACAGAATATGGCTTCACTCTACCTAGCTAGATCTCAGCCTTGATGGTGCTGACACCGAGTTGTGGCTACCCGTGTGCTATGGATACTTCAGTGTTCTTGGACTCTTGGACTGCACCACTGTGCCCGGAGCCACTCCCTCCCCAGCTGTGAAGACAAGAGGTGCCTCCAGATATTGGCAGTTAGCCCCGGGAGTGGACCAGCTGCCAGAGACAGTGCTCTGTAGTCCTCTCACGTCTATCCATTTCTTATAGAAGGAGTCATAAATACTATAAATTTCTAGCCTTACAGATCATTGTTAACTGTAGTAGTTTTAAATCTGTTGGATTTTAAGCTCTGACAAATGAAGTTAAATGAGATAAGGTAATCAGATTTTAATTAGATTTCAAAATAATTGTTAGCTCTACTCTATTACCAAACCTATATTTTAATATATTTTAATAGCATAAAATGGAAAATTTTTACAAAGAGTAAAATTGCAAATTGCCAATAACGGGTTTTGAGTGCAAGAAAACTTGGTTAATGAAGCAAAAAAGAATGTAAGTTTAAAAGAAAATGGGAGGTGGTGGGCTAAGCAGCTCCCCTAGTGCTGTCAGGTCTTAAAGAGCTGAGTGGCCAGACTTTTTTCTTAAAGACTTTGAGACAGTTTGGGTTGACTGTTCCTTCTGTGATGTGAGGTTGTATTAAAGACCAGACCTCATATAAGTAGCATTTGGTTTTCTGTGATAGGGAACAAGGTGTGTGGATTTGGATTGGAATTGTGAAATGATATAACAAGATTATAGCCTGGGAAAATGTTGGATTTTTACATAATTGCCAAGATTCTGTTTTTCATTGTTATTCCATAAGGCAAACTGCTCCTGACGAAAATGATGAGCCATTCCAAACCAAAGGTAAGTTGGGTAGAAATATCTAAAAATACTGATTTTTTTTTGTGAATAAGTACCCTAATAAATTTTTTTCATTTTCTTCCTTCTTTTTAACTCTTAAATCTGCTTATCTGTTATTCTGTTCAAAGTAACTTTATTTTATGTAGACTGAAACAGGATTAAAATAACATATCCAAAGCATAAGGGGTGGCTTATACCTATATTCCTAGCACTCAGGAGGGTAAATATACTAGTTAGGGTTACTATTACTGTGATGAAACATCATGGACAAAAGCAGCTTGGGGAGCAAAGGGTTTATTTCACTCACAGTTCCATATAAAACTCAAGTTCATCATCAAACTCAAACAGGGCAGGAGTTAATGTAGAGAACACGGAGGGGTGCTTCTCATGGCTTGCTCAGCTTGTTTTCTTATAGAAACCAGGACCATCAGTCCAGGAGTGGTCCCACCCACAATGGGCTGTGCCCTCCCACATCAAGCACTAATTAAGAAAATGCCCTACAGACTTACTTACAGCTTGATCTTAGGGAGGTATTTTCTCAATTGAGGCTCCCTGCTCTCAGATTGAGTCTAGTTTGTGTCAAAGATGACATAAAGCTAGCCAGCACAGTGAGGCAATGAGGTCAAAGTTTCATGGCCATTAGAGTACAAATTTAAGACCCTGTCAGGAAAAAACAACAGCAACATACCTATTCATTGCGCCAAGTCTATAAGGAGGAATTATGGTTGTATCTGTAGCTGCAGTCAACTGCTATATGCTGTAGCAGTTTACATATATTGTCTTAGTTTAACACTGTTGTAGCCTAGGAACATAATCCATTTTCTGTAGCCTCAGAGAAGTAAAGCATCTAACCAGAAGTGACTGACAGGAAGCATTCACAAAATGGATGGAATTTGAGTAAGCAAAACAGGTGAAAACCCTGTTGTTCCTATGAATACAGACGATATTTATCTGAAAGGCCTAATTAGCAATTATCCAAATCTTAGTCACCTTCAAAAAATAATTTAACATGTTCTTACTTTGGAATTGGAAGTTCTCTGTGCTCAGAGATTAAGCAGAGAGGTTGTTCCTTTTTCTTTAAACTGTTGAACCAGAAGCACATAAAACCCCTCTTATAATATATACAAAATACATGTGTATTTGCTTATGTGGAGGGTGTTTTGTTCTTTTGAGACAGGGTCTCACATATGAAGACCTGGCTTTGAACTCAAAAGAGATCCTTGGCCTTCTGAGTGCTGGGACTAAAGGCAGACACCAGTTCTTGTTTTACTTTAAAACAGTGTCTCATTCTGTGGCCCAAGCAGTCCGAGAGCTATGTGGCACATGCTGGACCTCACTTGATCCTCCAACATCTGCCTCCCAAGTATGAGCTACCACACATGGCTTTTCATTCCCACAGTGTCTTTTAATGCTGATGTAAGCTGTTGGTTGTTCAATGATGAGTAAATAGATGGTGATATTGAATTTTCTACATTTTTATTTACTTGTAGTAAATACAGGGAAACTATTGAATAACGGCTGCAACTTTCAATTCTAATGTTCTTGGAATGCAAATTTCTGAATCATAACGCTGTTCCTCATTTGTTTCTTAAATGTTCAGAACCAAGTCCTGTTCCTCCAGACACACTGGGGAGTGACTTTGATTCAAGTAAAGTCAAGTCTACTGATGAGACCTTACCTAGGACTGTGTCTTTCCATTGCCACTTAAAGAAAGATTTTAGTAATGTAAGTCGCTCCACTGCTTTAAAGGATTGTGAAGCCAGTTATCAGGTGGGACAGTCTTTGGAAGTTAGAAGTGGGTGTAGAGACCCAACTATAACTCTGTACAGACCTGAAAATGTAGAACAAAATGTTTGTCTGTGGAACAAGGATCAAGTTAATTTATCCCCTAGACTGACTTGCCCAGGAATGAATGCAAAAACAAAAGAAATCATTTTATTATCTAAACCCGAACAAATGAAAAGTAAGCATAAACATGCACAAAAAAGAAGAGCAGAGCAAAGAAGAGCCAACCAGAGATGCAAATCAAAACTCTCACTGAGGTGTAAGGGCAGCAAAGGCAAAGATGAGCACACTGTACACCCCACAAAGTTGAGTGGGTCTACCGGTGCCGGTGACGCATATGATTTTAATCTGGAAGAGCGTGTTCACCTCACCCCTTTCCAACAAAAAGTAAGCAGTGGCTCCAGGGGAGAGATCAACAGCATCCACAGGGAAGGGGGTGCTTTTGAACTGAGTGCCTCTGAGGACGATTCTGACGACTCCTACCTGCCTCCTTGTAAGCACCTGGAAGACCACACTAGAGAGTCAGACAGACCAGTCACCAGGTCTCGGCCTAAAAGAGGACTCAAGTACACGGATGAAAAAGATACAGAGAAGGCTCCACCAACCAGAACTCCTACTGGTAAGAGTGTGCTTATTTGCCTGGTTTTGATGTACTCTTAGTTACTGTACCTGCCATATGTTACTCTGGGAGAGACTAGAGACTTCCCATATGTGCTCTCTGTAGGGGAAGTTATAGTCTGATTTAATAGTAGAGTTGGAAAATGGAAACATGGCTGTGTTATTCTGACTGACTTTAAGCAATTAGGAATCTTACAGGAGTATTACTTTTCAGGATCTGAGACTTTTGAGCAGGGTGAGGAGAGGACAGATTGTGGTTGGATTGAATTAAAAGATCTTCTTTACACTTTGTGATCACCTGGAAAATAAAATTTAAAAAAAACCTCATTTTAATGGATTTACTATATATTTAGCAGGAACCATGACTTATTTTTCTAATTGAAGATGAACTTGTGAGAGCAAGAAATTCTTTTCTCATCTGCTGAAAACTTTAGCTCAGAAATTCTTGCTTTTATTTTATCAAAGTCATTCATCATTAGTCATCAGCCTGCACCTACTCAAAAAGACTCCTTTGGGAATTTGATTCCAGTGGCAATAGTTCCATGCTGTCAGTTCCTATCATCTTCAGAATGTTGTCACATTGTAACAGCTCAGTCAGCATGCTTGGTTTGCTTGACTGGGATATTAAAGCCTGAAACAATGAATCAACTTTCCTAGTTGAACAGCTAGGCAGTATAGTTTACAAGAGTCTGCTTTTAAAATATGTGTCATGAGTATTCCTTCTGCTTTCAATAGCTGTTTCTCTTTTTCTTAATAAATCTGTTTGTTCTACTTCAAATAAAAATACTTTAATGATAGAATAAAATGAGCAGGATTGACAAACTGTTGGTAATTAACATGGGGCTTAATTGAACTATTGTTAACACTTTGTGTTCTTTTGAAAACAATGTTTCAAAAAGAACAAAAAGAAACACTGAGATAGTTTGAACCCAGACTTCTACCAGCAGCATTACCTGAAAACAGCCATAATCACAGGTTTCTGTCCTATACCTTGAATTAGAATTTGAATGTCTTTATAAGTTCCCCTAGGAATTTGTAAACACTTATGGTTTGGGAAGCATTATTCTAGAATATAATAGCCGGTCTAATCCTGTTGCTTGGAGTTAGTCTACCCTATTAATACTGGAATGGTTGTATATGTTTAATGGTGACAGGATAGTATCTGACACCTAGATACTCTGTAGTTACAAAACTCTGTTGGAGAATATTGTCTTTCAGTGTTCTCACTATGCATAGGGTACCTGCCTCCCAATAGATGTAGCTGTGAGATAGAGGACCTGGGTGTTTATGGTGGGGGAGATATCTGAATTTTGTAACATTAGCTCCAGTGAGAACACATTTTATCCTGGTCTTCACGGACTGATTGAGTGTTCTTGTATGTTTAATGGAATGTACTGAAGGACCTTTGTATTCAGTGGGCCTCCAACAGTTTACAAACTTTGGTGTTGAATGAGACTGGGGCCTTGATTGATGATTCTCAGTATTAAAGTGTGACTAAAATGCAATTTCCTACTTTAAACTAACACATAACATCTCAGCTACTGGGGAAGAAAGTTGTTTTATTAAATAGTTCTGTTGCAGCTAGAAGTTCTTTACATCTGCCATAGTTTCTACATTATCTGGCTTGAAAAGAAGAAAAAGCAAGAGGAAGTTTTTAAAACATAGATCATGAAGTGTATTTCGTGTGTTTAAAATATGTAATTGAGCATATTTTTATTTCTGTGGATTTTATCTCTTGGATCCATATTCAGTAAACACTGTATTGTAGATATCCCACCTGAGACTGAAGAAGAGTCACCTGGTTGTAGCCTGAAGGATGTCACTAATATACTGATGCATCCTGTAGTGAAAATTAGGAAACTTTCTCTGTCTCCGAGAAGGCATGAAGACAGCCCAGCAGTGTCTCTGCCTAAGCGCAGGTGTACTGCCATCACAAGCTATAAAGAGCCAACACTTGCTTCGTAAGTACTGTGTGAACTCAACTGTAACGATCAACTCTTAATGCAAGGGCTGAAGAAGGGCTTTAGCTATGGGCGGGTCTTATTTGAGGACTAAGACTGGCATATTTTTTGAATAATCCCATGCTGAGCTTAATACTGCTTTATTTGTAATCATTCCTAAAATCTTTTTTTATTTACAGGAAACTAAGAAGAGGGGACCCTTTCACAGACTTGTGTTTCTTGAATTCTCCTATTTTCAAGCAGAAAAAGGATATGAGACGTCGTAAAAGAAGTACAAAGCTAACACAGTAGCTCCTTTTATTGGATGCTGTCAAAGGTGATCCTTCTTTTTTACCTAATAGTCTGTGAGACAGTATGTAATGAGCAGCACCAATCCTTATCAGGATGTCTCTTGAACCTATACTTTGTAATTGTGTGGATTGCTACCAACACATCTAAAATTTCTCTGGCATCTTTACTTTTTCCTTAAGCAGGGGAATTGCAGAGTTGAAAATTTATAAAGATAGGATATCTTTCATAAATCCTTGACATCACAGTAAGATGTAAGTTGCTGTGAGTCCCTTATTCTGTTGTCATATTAATTCTTTGGATAAAATATATATAGAATCATGATTAAGAGAATTGATGGGTTTGGTTCTGGGACAAGGTAACTGTTGTAAACTCTCAGTGTTTGTGATATCATTCTTCATTAGAATGATAACATATCGTGGAACCCAGGCTAGTCCTTCATGTTGTCAAATTTGTGAATAGTAAGGGTTTCTGGTTTTGATCTAAATACAAAATGTAAATAGCCCAGGTCAGAAAGTTGAACCTCTACAGGTGTGTATATATTTCTTTAAACTGAAGTGGTCCATTTTTAAAGAACAATCATATAAAGTCTGGCCATACATAGTGGTGACCATTGTGTTTTTCTTCTACTCTTAACTGTCAGTAATCTTGATTACCTTCCTTCCTGGCCTTTACCACTCCCAGCTTAGTTGTAGCTTCTTCTGTCGTCTCTGTCAATTTTCCCCTTCCCTTTCACATTAGATTTGTCTTATCAACTTTTCTACCTGCAGCCTTCAGGCCCACAATTAAGACATTTCAATTTGGGGCTCATCAGTAGAACACTTGCCTCATCTGGGCAAGACCCAGGAATAAACCCTCCTGCATGCAATAGATTTTTAAATGTATCAGGGGCCTTCTAGTATCCATTGCAGACTTTACCCCCATCACCATGGCTTCCTACATTTCCCTTCAGTCACTTAGAGCTCTTCTCTGTCACTCTTGTTGTGCCTCCTACTTTCCCATCACAGTCTTATTTTTCCAGCCACTCTTTTTTTTTTTTTTTTTTCAGTGCTGAAGACAGAACCCGGGGCCCTGTGTGTGGTAGGAGCACAGCCAGTAGTCTACAGCAGCCCCTGTTTCTCTTTTGTAGTTGCCACGGTGCCTTGGGAGTGACTGTCTTAGCTAAGAACCTCGAGTGGCTGTGGTTACCACAGTGCATCCTACAAAGAGGTGGACTGTATCCTGGTCCAAATTGAGCAAGCTGGCTTGTGGGCCATGTTTTGTGCAAGCTTAGTTTTTGTGTATTTAAGAAGTTGAAAAAAAATATTTGGATTAAATTTGCTATTTGGCCTGCAGCCCCAGATATTTATTTCCCGGTCCTTTTTCAAAAAAAATTTGTCATAGCCTGGCATGATGTGATGGTGCATGCCAGTAATATCAGCACTGTAGAGGCTGAGGCAGGAGGATCTTGTTTTAGACCACTGTACTACATGACCTCAAACAGCCCAAAAATATTTTTCTACTTCCTTCTGTAGACACCTGATTGTTTACTTCAAAGATCCGTGTGCCTCGTGTCAACCTTGATCCTCTCTCTGTACTAGTCACTATTCTTCCAATTTTAGTTTGTGTGCTGCCAAAGCACACACCAATCACTATTGTCTTAAAACTGCTATTAGACTTTGTCTTTCTCATGTTTCTGTATTCATGGTGTATTCATTCTGTATTCATAGGCTGCTAAGGGTTTTGTGTCAACATTTTTATCTGATAAGCACTGTATTTTTATATATACATATATATAGTGTATACTGATTTATAATTGACTAAAGAGTTTGAGACTTACCATGTTGTTTGATATAAAGCATTTTTGATGCATAATATTTTAGAAATAAACCAGATTTAATGCCTCTTTTTAGAAATAGTTGCCACTTTCTTGTTATTTTAAAGATTACAGCTGCAATTACTATTCTTTAGCTCTCCAGGGCCTTCTGTAAAGACTAGGCTCCTTAGCGGGGTGTTTCATGATATCCAGCCAGGTCTTCTAACACATCAGCTTACACCCCAACCTCACATTAATATCTTACCTCTGAGTTCCCTGGTGTTCTATTCCTTCTCCAATAATAGTCTTAAAAGCTGGCATTTAGCTGTCCTAGTTTTTTACCTTGTAAAAGGTGTTAAGAGGAGCAATTCTAGCTGGGTATGGTGGTGCAAGCTTTTAATCCTAGCACTCAAAGACAGAGACGGGTGAATTTGTGAGTTTGAGGCCAGTCTGGTCTACAGAGCAAGTTCGGGGCAGCCAGTATTACACAGAGAAACTCTGTCTTGAAAAAAACTAAGGGGGGGGGGGATAAAAAAGAAAAAGGACGCCAGCAGTCCACAGCTCATGGAATGGACTCTTGGAAGCAAGCAACAGCTGATCTGATAAAGGTGGCTGTTTTACTCAGACAAAATAAGAGTTCCCTGATTTTATTAAAGGTGACTTTTTTTGTAGTTTGTAGTTGTTCTTAATCTCCTTTAAGCATCTTTTTGTTTGCTTTGTTGACTCTTACCTGCAAAGATAACTTGGACACCTTCATCTGCATGCTTACCAATTAGGCTACATTAGTTAACCAGGTGCCCAGCTGCATCCCTGTTTCCAACATGGGGTGGGGAATCCAAAATGAAGCCCCTCATCATTTGCATGGCAAATTCTTTACCAGCTGAATCATTTCCCTAAAGGTTATTTATTTTGTATGTGTGTGAGTTTAAGATCTGGGCTGTGAACTCTGGTTATCAGCCTTGGCAGCAAGTGCCTTTAACTGGCTTTACTGGAAGCCCCCTCACCTCAATGTTTTGATTACTCAGCCAATAATGGAAAATAGCTACATTTAACCAGTTGTGGTGTTGCAGGCCTTTAGTTTCAGTGCGTGGGAGGCAGAGGTAGACAGATCTCTGTAAGTTTGAGAGCAATCTGATCTACATAGAGTTTCAGGCCAGCCAGGGTTACATAGACAAACCAATTAAACAAATAAGCTAAAATGGCTACACTTGTTAGAACAAATTGAAATGGCTAGGTTTTTCGCATTTTTCTTGATATGAAATTTCCAGTTACAGGAAGCTAAGAAGCAGATAGATTAGACTGAGGTACTGTGGACTGACTATCTAACCGCTTAGAAGCAGATGCCCTTCGCAGCAGCCCTCCCTTTAACTTTAGAGATTATGAAGACTGGTTTGAGTGACTAAGGAGGACAGGAGTGAGGGGCAAGTGACCAGAGGAGAGAAGAAAACAAGGAGAGATATGGTTCCCTCATGGTCATGGCAGGACGGTTAAGAAACACCAGAAAAGATGGCGAATAAACAAGGGACTCTAATTTTACAACATGGAACTGAGAGCTCTCTAAAGATGACAAGATGCCTGTGTTTGGTCTTTATCCACGCTGGGTTGCTAGGACTTTCCAGGTCCACACACCCCCACTCAGGCCGAACCTCATGGGTTAAGGCTGAATAAACAAGGGACTCTAATTTTACAACATGGAACTGAGAGCTCTCTAAAGATGACAAGATGCCTGTGTTTGGTCTTTATCCACGCTGGGTTGCTAGGACTTTCCAGGTCCACACACCCCCACTCAGGCCGAACCTCATGGGTTAAGGCTGAGACATGCCAGGTCATGACATGCTCTTAACCCCAGCCTTCTCTCTAGCCCCAAATGGGGTTTGCTTTTTCTTTATAAAACTTCCTACAACTGCAGCAATTCTAGACATGTTCACAAAAGCTTAAGAGCTAAGGATTGAGGGCACAATCAATGATCATACCAGCTGACACATTGCCCTGCTAACCTCAGACTGTTAGTGTAACAAAACATAACACCAGACAGAGTTTTCAAAATATAATTTAAAATTATTTTGTACCAGTACAATATATTAATTTTACAAATGTAAAGTTTTTATCAGCTGTTAAAGCATTTGCAAAAACCACACATTCTATTTCAGCTTTATTGCACAATATTTATAAGAAAATATTAATTTTTAAATTAGAAAACATAAAAATGATTTCAATATAGAAGAGACCATCTGATTTTAAAGACAATACTCTATAAGAAATACCAAACTTTCACAGGTTACCAAGGTGGACAGATGCTTCAGCAAAATCCGGTTTTTAAAACAGTCTGAGATACTTAATGCAATTTGTATCATATTTCTTCATTAAGAGTCTAGATGCCACTCAGAGTGTTCCTTGCAATTCTAAAAAGTTGTGGCATCTTCAGTATGGTCTTCAGTGAACATTCTGAACATATAGAATACCTTCTATGTCAGAAGCAGATTTCCAGGGTGTTTTCCTTCAAGCACACTACCTCTGCAAGCTTTTTTAAATGACTGTTAGTGACCCATTATAATTTATGCTGATAGAAAACATACACTAAATACATTTTTAAAACCTCAGCCTTTACAAAAAAATCAGTTTATAAATTTGCATCATAAAAATTAGTGTCGACCTTTGAAGTGGCCTTTCTTTAATATGGTTGTATATTAGTTGGTTTTTCCCAGAGCTGGGGTGGCAGGTGCCCACTTTTCTATGTAGTGTAATCAGGAAATAAAACCAATCATTAAGCTTGAGTCCCCAGACAGATTGGTTGCTAAGGTTGTACAGTGGATGGACATTAGTGGGATGTAACTGTGAACTAAAGAAATGACGCAGATGTTAAAATACTGGCATAAACTTTGGTGAGAATTCAGTTCACCTCAGACAAACATAATCTGGAAGTGCAAATGGGAAATGCTCACACAGATATTGCTGATAGGGTTAAATGTACCAGAAAATACAAGAACCCTTACCTATTTGGAGCAAGACTCCTAGCATTCATAAGTATTTAGGACACATGTCTTAACGTTAACAAAACCTCCAATGTTTTCAAGTTGACACCTTTGTGGCCTGGGAGAGGATCTTTTAGAACTTAGAACCTGCACAAGCAAAGGCAAATATGACATGGACACATATCTGCCAAGAATTATTAAATAGTGGTTGTGCACTCTCAAGCCTGTGAGGGGAAGACACTTATAAAAGTCCCCTCCTCAGGAGTCACAGCTGCTGCTGCTGCTGTGAAAGTTGCATTTTTCAGAACTGCTCAAAGCACCTCATCTAGATGAGTGTTTTAAAAAATATATATTCGTAAAAGGTCTACAGTGAGACTTCAAACATCACATAGTTCACCTTGACAGGCGTATTGTGGACCCTTTTCTTAAAGTCCTTCAGAATAAAATAATCTCTCATGTTCCATTAAAAAAAAAATGGAGACATTCATGGTCAAAATTTTCTCTAGATTCCCATAAATCCTGGTACTGTGTGCAATTTCCTCACAAACAGGTTTTGAGGAAGCCCCTGATCATCTACCATGCATTAGTCAGCTACTGGACATGCCAGAGAAAATTTACACGATAGTAGTAAATAAATTAAAATCTACTCCACAAAATAAAGTTTTCTATGATTTCCATTTAAATACGTCTCTAAAAAGCTAAAAGGAGGTTTTGTTTGTTTTTCAAAAGTGCTAATTATTACAAGTCTCTTCAACACATGATGTACAATTCTTAAAAACAAACAAAAACCCAAAACCTAAACCACCTGCTTTAGGCACACTGCTGATGAGTGTCTAAGGAAAAGAAATCACTTGTCAATCAACCCTGCTTCCTTAATTTTACTGAAGAAGAACTTCTCCAGGATGCTGGCACATTTATAGTACTCGCTCTCAGGAGGGTTGTACTCTTTGCAGTTGGTGAACACTCTCTGCAAGTCCGCCATGAATAATTTCTTAGACACATAGTACCTGTTCCTGAGACGTTCGCTCATGGTTTTCAGATCTGCACAGGAAACAACAACATTAGCAACTGTTGACTCCTCCTACACAACAGCTGACAATGTAAGGTGGGAAGAAATGTATGCTACTGATGTGCTTACATCTTTCTCACCCCAATGCCATGCTTACAAGAAATTCCATCGCATTAAGCAAAATAATTCTAAGTCTATTCTTCTGAAAAGGATTTTATATATAACACGTACCCACACTAACATTAAAAGGACCTAAGTACTTGTCTGCTCCCGTCTCTTACTGTGCACCAGGAGGCTAAGGAACAGTAGAGGTTACAGGGATGCTGATTGAGGCAGGCAGAACACTGGCACAGAATCTTTGATTGCTAAATTTATAGGTTGAGCTAGTTTTTACTAAAGCCACAAAGAAAGAGGCTAGTATCTTATTTGCAAATGCATCAGTAACCTGCACATAAAATACTAAAAGTAAAACAAATGAATTTTGCTCCAGGCTCTATCAATGAAGTCAAACTAACTTTTGACTTTCAACTTTACCAAATAATCATTTATTATTGTTTTAATTGTATAGATTGTTTCCGAGTATGTCTGTGTGCTATGTGCATGCCTGGTGCTCTTTAAGGTCAGTTAAGGGCATAGAATCCCCTAAAACTGGAATTACAAAGGGCTATAAGTGGCCATATGGGTGCTAGGAACCAAACCCAGATCTTGGAAGATCATTCAGTGATCTTAAGTGCTGAGCCATTGCTCCAGCCCAAAATAATCTGCACACACACATACCCCAGGTGGAACTCTGATGGGAAAACCTCATTAAGCAAGGTCACCAGGATACAGACTCCGAGGTATCTTTTGCTTTTGCTTCTGTTGTACCTTCACATATGCTACTACAATCTTTCCCTGGTAGCTGTGAGGAGTCTCCCTCTGCCTGTATTGTAGTGTGTTTATCTCATGAGTACATCCTAAAGTTTACAAGGACATATAACTGAACTGTCTGATTTATTGGGCTGGGTTGAAAGTGCAGAACAAACCGATTGTTGCACACACTTTCCTTGCTAGGTCTGGCTGATAACCAAAGACAATAGTTAATTCTCTGCACAAACCCTGACCTCAGTTTTCTGATAC